TGGTGGACGCTGTTTACCATAGTGATCCAAAACCGGTCAGTGATGTTTGCAATAAGTCTGATGACAACATTTCTGCAGAATCAAATTCTGACCTCACATCAAATGTCGATCCTCAGCATCCAGTCAATCTTAACGGGTCCCCTATTGAATGCCAGAAACATGTTATAAATACAATCGCATTAATAGAAACTTGGGTATATGAGGATCCGACACTATTTCGTGGGGGAGGAGGTGCTCGGATTTCTCAAAAAGGGGAGGTGTTGGGGATGTCAAATCCCCAGAACTTACTTGGTAAATGGCTTAATCTTGTAATTTTATTTTGAAAAATTGAATTTAGCTGTTTTCGCGCCAAAAGCGCTCTTTTTACCTTCACGTCATATTTCCCACCTGTAAACTATCTTAACCGCTATTGGTCCTTTGTTTCTTTATGTGTGCTATTTACTAATGGTGCTCAAGGACAATTTGTTACTGTATAAATGCGCTTGACTTTTTCCCTTATTTGATTGCTTGTACTCGGCTGCTTACGGAATACATATATATTCCCCTACTTGCCTTGAACTTCTTCATCTAGTTAGCGGGGCCTGGGACAACCGATTAGAATAGCTTATCGTATCATTGTGTCATTGGCTTCGTTCGTTACCGCGGTAATCGATTTAGTTTTAAGCATAACAATTGGCGACGGGGACAAAAAAAAAGTGAAAAATGACGCTCCCTTCTGACCGCTTACAGTTGCTATTTGACCGACATTTGGAGTTCATGGTCAAACTACGCTCACAGTTTCTGGATCATCAATGCTTCGCATATGCGTCGGAAGTGGATGTATTAATCTCTGAATTGCACACAGAGCTGGCAAATGATCGCAGCCCCCATGATTCCTCAACAAGCCGCAACCTGAACGAAACAGCAGTATCACAAGACAAGCCCGGTTGTCCATCACCGTCCATTTCAGAAACATACCCGGTAGTGGATTCAAACCCCACTATCCCTGAATTAGCAGGTCCTAACAATGCCGCTTTCAGCTCTCATCAATACGATGCTATGTTAAAAGCCCATGAAATGGTCGCACCAATCGCCCACAGAGTACCAGAGATCATATCAAGCGGTTCAACGAGCGAATCTCATTCTGCAATAGAAATGTCTACCGAATCTAGTGATCAAGATTCCCAAGCTTGTCCAGAAATTCCGTTACATGCATCGAATCCGGAACCTAGCGCAGTTTTGGTGGACGCTGTTTACCATAGTGATCCAAAACCGGTCAGTGATGTTTGCAATAAGTCTGATGACAACATTTCTGCAGAATCAAATTCTGACCTCACATCAAATGTCGATCCTCAGCATCCAGTCAATCTTAACGGGTCCCCTATTGAATGCCAGAAACATGTTATAAATACAATCGCATTAATAGAAACTTGGGTATATGAGGATCCGACACTATTTCGTGGGGGAGGAGGTGCTCGGATTTCTCAAAAAGGGGAGGTGTTGGGGATGTCAAATCCCCAGAACTTACTTGGTAAATGGCTTAATCTTGTAATTTTATTTTGAAAAATTGAATTTAGCTGTTTTCGCGCCAAAAGCGCTCTTTTTACCTTCACGTCATATTTCCCACCTGTAAACTATCTTAACCGCTATTGGTCCTTTGTTTCTTTATGTGTGCTATTTACTAATGGTGCTCAAGGACAATTTGTTACTGTATAAATGCGCTTGACTTTTTCCCTTATTTGATTGCTTGTACTCGGCTGCTTACGGAATACATATATATTCCCCTACTTGCCTTGAACTTCTTCATCTAGTTAGCGGGGCCTGGGACAACCGATTAGAATAGCTTATCGTATCATTGTGTCATTGGCTTCGTTCGTTACCGCGGTAATCGATTTAGTTTTAAGCATAACAATTGGCGACGGGGACAAAAAAAAAGTGAAAAATGACGCTCCCTTCTGACCGCTTACAGTTGCTATTTGACCGACATTTGGAGTTCATGGTCAAACTACGCTCACAGTTTCTGGATCATCAATGCTTCGCATATGCGTCGGAAGTGGATGTATTAATCTCTGAATTGCACACAGAGCTGGCAAATGATCGCAGCCCCCATGATTCCTCAACAAGCCGCAACCTGAACGAAACAGCAGTATCACAAGACAAGCCCGGTTGTCCATCACCGTCCATTTCAGAAACATACCCGGTAGTGGATTCAAACCCCACTATCCCTGAATTAGCAGGTCCTAACAATGCCGCTTTCAGCTCTCATCAATACGATGCTATGTTAAAAGCCCATGAAATGGTCGCACCAATCGCCCACAGAGTACCAGAGATCATATCAAGCGGTTCAACGAGCGAATCTCATTCTGCAATAGAAATGTCTACCGAATCTAGTGATCAAGATTCCCAAGCTTGTCCAGAAATTCCGTTACATGCATCGAATCCGGAACCTAGCGCAGTTTTGGTGGACGCTGTTTACCATAGTGATCCAAAACCGGTCAGTGATGTTTGCAATAAGTCTGATGACAACATTTCTGCAGAATCAAATTCTGACCTCACATCAAATGTCGATCCTCAGCATCCAGTCAATCTTAACGGGTCCCCTATTGAATGCCAGAAACATGTTATAAATACAATCGCATTAATAGAAACTTGGGTATATGAGGATCCGACACTATTTCGTGGGGGAGGAGGTGCTCGGATTTCTCAAAAAGGGGAGGTGTTGGGGATGTCAAATCCCCAGAACTTACTTGGTAAATGGCTTAATCTTGTAATTTTATTTTGAAAAATTGAATTTAGCTGTTTTCGCGCCAAAAGCGCTCTTTTTACCTTCACGTCATATTTCCCACCTGTAAACTATCTTAACCGCTATTGGTCCTTTGTTTCTTTATGTGTGCTATTTACTAATGGTGCTCAAGGACAATTTGTTACTGTATAAATGCGCTTGACTTTTTCCCTTATTTGATTGCTTGTACTCGGCTGCTTACGGAATACATATATATTCCCCTACTTGCCTTGAACTTCTTCATCTAGTTAGCGGGGCCTGGGACAACCGATTAGAATAGCTTATCGTATCATTGTGTCATTGGCTTCGTTCGTTACCGCGGTAATCGATTTAGTTTTAAGCATAACAATTGGCGACGGGGACAAAAAAAAAGTGAAAAATGACGCTCCCTTCTGACCGCTTACAGTTGCTATTTGACCGACATTTGGAGTTCATGGTCAAACTACGCTCACAGTTTCTGGATCATCAATGCTTCGCATATGCGTCGGAAGTGGATGTATTAATCTCTGAATTGCACACAGAGCTGGCAAATGATCGCAGCCCCCATGATTCCTCAACAAGCCGCAACCTGAACGAAACAGCAGTATCACAAGACAAGCCCGGTTGTCCATCACCGTCCATTTCAGAAACATACCCGATAGTGGATTCAAACCCCACTATCCCTGAATTAGCAGGTCCTAACAATGCCGCTTTCAGCTCTCATCAATACGATGCTATGTTAAAAGCCCATGAAATGGTCGCACCAATCGCCCACAGAGTACCAGAGATCATATCAAGCGGTTCAACGAGCGAATCTCATTCTGCAATAGAAATGTCTACCGAATCTAGTGATCAAGATTCCCAAGCTTGTCCAGAAATTCCGTTACATGCATCGAATCCGGAACCTAGCGCAGTTTTGGTGGACGCTGTTTACCATAGTGATCCAAAACCGGTCAGTGATGTTTGCAATAAGTCTGATGACAACATTTCTGCAGAATCAAATTCTGACCTCACATCAAATGTCGATCCTCAGCATCCAGTCAATCTTAACGGGTCCCCTATTGAATGCCAGAAACATGTTATAAATACAATCGCATTAATAGAAACTTGGGTATATGAGGATCCGACACTATTTCGTGGGGGAGGAGGTGCTCGGATTTCTCAAAAAGGGGAGGTGTTGGGGATGTCAAATCCCCAGAACTTACTTGGTAAATGGCTTAATCTTGTAATTTTATTTTGAAAAATTGAATTTAGCTGTTTTCGCGCCAAAAGCGCTCTTTTTACCTTCACGTCATATTTCCCACCTGTAAACTATCTTAACCGCTATTGGTCCTTTGTTTCTTTATGTGTGCTATTTACTAATGGTGCTCAAGGACAATTTGTTACTGTATAAATGCGCTTGACTTTTTCCCTTATTTGATTGCTTGTACTCGGCTGCTTACGGAATACATATATATTCCCCTACTTGCCTTGAACTTCTTCATCTAGTTAGCGGGGCCTGGGACAACCGATTAGAATAGCTTATCGTATCATTGTGTCATTGGCTTCGTTCGTTACCGCGGAATCGATTTAGTTTCAGGCATAACAGTTAGCTCTGTACTAGTCGAGACCTTACCGCCGGAACTCGGAGAACTGCTGCAACCATTATCAAAAAAGTACAAGTACTTATAAACAACTGTCCGTTGGCCAGATAACATCAACAACAATGTACTGTAGGAGAGGACAAACCAGCTTCCAGCCGAAGAGGAAATTACGAAGAGACTCTGGAAGTGGATAGGACACACACTGAGGAAATCACCATACTGCATCATGAGGCAAGCGCTAACTTGGAATCCTGAATGGAAACGGAAAAGAGGAAGGCCAAAGAACACACTGCGTCGAGACTTGCAAGCAAACATGAAAAGCATGAATATCAACTGTAAATAACGGGGTGGGATTGCCTAGGACAGAGTTGGATGAAGAATACTGGTGGGCGGCCTGTCCTCCTTCATAAGGGTTAACAGGCGTAAGTTTGTATGACGAAATTATACTGAACTGCAAGTAGGATACATTCAGTCACTATTTTAATCAAAGTGTGTTCACTTTATGGTGGTTTGTCGGAAACTATGATAACGAGTTCATCTAAATATTTAGGCATTATTGATGTGTGCTGTATATCGTCACTGACAGTAACATAGAAGACAATTTTATATTTACATCACAAAACGTTTATACGTTATCATCACATTTTATCAACAAAACTGTTCAATAGGGAACTTGTTTATAGCAACATTCGTCGAATCGGTATTTGTCTCCTGTAAGTATGAAAAAAAAATAAAGCAGATCTTGTTTTGTCACTTACCAGTCAGATATGAATTCACTGCAAAATGATATATGCTGTTTTATTTCTTTCGATAATTCTTTCAAATTTGTAACACAAGAAAACAAATGTTTTAGCTCTTCAGCCCGGAATGTCACGTCATAGTCTAAAAAAGGGTTGTAAAGCTTTGTTCAAATGATTGATTTAAGAAAATAAGTCAGTTATTTATAGTTTCGATTGAATATTACTCATTGTCAATAAAAACTTGAATACATTCTTACTTCATATTAACTAAAACTACTGGAACAAAGGTTTGAAGTAAACACGGTTATTTGCAAATGATAGCGATTTAAAATACCGGTGGGAATTCTGACATTTATAAAGCATGGCAATTTTTTAAATAATCGTGGAATGAAAACACTATATTTACGTGTACAAAAAATTATCCTTCTAATTTATAATGATAATTGTTGCATTACAAAGAGACAGTCATCTTACTTCGCAGTTTTTCACTAGTGTGAATTCCTTTGTTTAAATTCATCAAAAGATAGTGTAACAATTTTAAACTATTCTCAGCTAGCCAACTTTCTTGGATTTGTGTTAGAATACATTTCAGTAGGATATCTGGAATCTGTAATATAAACAGACAATCCGAAAATATTCATAAAAATACATTGGTTATTTATAATAGTCTACTTTAGTCATTTAAAAAGCCTGAAAAAGTAAAACTGGCGACAACTAGGGAATAACACATAGAATATCATTAGGATGAATAGAAGTTCTATTCCGTCATATTTCTGACTTATGTGTTAACAAAGAATTGGACATTAAAAAGTATACGCGCAGGTGCTTCTAGAAATACGTCGTTTCTTTGTTATACGATTTCCGTACAAGCGACGGTAATACCTCCAATTATGCATCGCTAATGTACAAATCATCAAGCTGTGTCCAATGTGTCTATTATACTCCGTGTTTTTTCTGAGATATGGAGATTTCCATTATCTACTCAACAAGCAGGAGGAAGAGGTAATGCGACAATAGGCGCCCGTCGGACGCCAGGCCTTATTTTGAATGCATTTGTGAGCTGCCCTCCACGCGCAACTTTGCATTACAGTCCATCTTAATTCTGTATGTCGCAACGATCCGAGATATTACATAGTGTCGTAGACGATCCCACAAGGCTTTTCTATGCACGTTGTCGAATGCTCTTTTACAATCAAGGAAACTCATGTATAAGTGATGAGTTTCATTCGATTGTTTGTCAGTTGATCTCGAAGTTTGAAGTCTACTGAATTTTTCACTCGACTCAGGAACTGTTGAGAATATTACTTTGTACTGGCATCAGCGTAACCTCTATGTAGGTTCTGCAATCACTAAGATCTTTTCTGGCGTATTAACGAAAAGCAGAACATCTTGCAATTGCTTCTGAATCTGACTTTACTGCTGTCGGAGTTATTGCTTCCATAATTTCTTTTCAGTTGCTCGCAATAGTGGTCTCTTCTTACAGTAAGTCTGGTACATTGTTGCTGTTAGCTATCTCAAACTCATTTGCCTCGTTAGCATCTCGAAGAAAGACTGTATTAAATCATTGTAGTCACGCTTGCTTAATCGTTCAATACTTCTATAGTCTTAGCCTGGTCACCACCAGGTAGCGATCTGAAGCTATATCACTTCCTCTATTTGATCTAACGTATTCCATGGACCTGGACTGTTTATTGCTTTAGACGTGGTCGATCTGGCTCTCCATAGCGTGGTTCGGTGGAACCCGTGTAACTTTATCACTGCACATGTGAGAGAAAATGCTGTCACTTATAACCATGTTGTTGAAAACATAGAGCTTACTAGTCTCGCACTATTTTTTGTATTTTTTTTTATCTGAGTAGTTATCAATATGCTGCGTCTGTACTCGATTTTGTCTATTCTGATCTTGATATTTAGGTCCTCCGTCAGAATCGTTAGATGTTCTTGTGAGCATTTTTGGGATGGTCTCTAACATGTTTACTGTTATCATTTAAGGGTGCGTAGCACTGTATGACATCCTTTTCTTTTTTTAAAAGATGCTTTGATGGTTCTGGAGTTATGGGTTTTCCGTTCTATGAGTGCTTCCGTGCTTCTTCTAAGAGCGTCAGTGTAGCTCTTTGTATGTGGTGCGTATTTTCATCCTCATGACAAGAATACAACATGTTTCCCAAAGCTAGTCTTTTGTGTCCAGCGGGTTCCACTTTTCCCAAGCACGGTCAGGTAGTATCTTCTTACTTTTGCGGCTTTTACCATGAAAAGCCAACTCTGCCATGTGAAGACCGTTAAACTACTGGGGAAGATTTTCTTCGGTTGATGTTTTTCTGCTTGAGGTTCTATTTTACGGAGTGGGTGTGCTAGCCTTTAACCCGAGCTTGAGAGTTGCAAGCAGAGTTTCGTCTCAATTACCAACTCATAAACACCTTGATAGGCAGCATTTGCATCCAAATGTCTGAAACCCGGTGATTTACAATATAGGGTGGGTTGTATCTTAACAGTTAAAGCTTTTAAAATCTCAGTTTATAAGTCATGTGCTTTATGTGCTCTTTTTTTAATTTTATTTAAACATAAATATTGGTACAAAGGGGCACCAGATACATATGCGCCTCACAAATCTCATTTGATTTGTGTGAGGGCTGTGATACTGCCCAGACTGAAACAGGTGGTTACCTTAGGGCGCCACACCCGGAGCCTTTGACCTGAAGGTCTAGTCCACAAGGCAGTGGAGCATCGTAAGGAGACGCAGTCCCATGGTAGCCGGTGACCAACGATTGATTCATACACCATTTGTTCCCTCAGGATACTGGAGCCCATGTGCACCATTCGTTTGAAACCAGGGTTTTCCAACTCCCCTAGGTGAACTTTCCGTATCCACCACCAACCCGGTTAAAGCACCGGACATTCGCTTTTCGTGCCCTCAATTTCGTAAACAACACCCCCGCTACGAGAAGGTAGCGAGTAGGACTTCCCTGGCAGAGGCTTTATACGCGTGGTCATGTGAGAGCATTTCGAGAGGGAGAACGGATTCTCCCCATTCTCGGCCATACCAGGGCATTCGGGGGCTTTATGTGCTCTAAGGAATGGTTTATCTTAGATACATGGTTTAATTGTGCAGTACGAGCTTAAAGTGTGGTCCAGAAAAACATTCAAAACTTCTTAATGTAACCATTTAGCTCAAAGAAAAAATTAAGATCTCAAAAGCATTATTGGTCAAATATACGTAGGGACGTGGACAGATGAAAAGTAATTTGGAGAGACTCGGAGAAGTAATATACTGAAAGACTTACAAATTGTAATTTATGGCAAAATGATATTTCTAGAAGTAGTCGTAATCAAGGATTACTTGATCTTACCTTAAGATTAGGTTCAAGAGAATATAAATTACAGCAATTTATGTATAGACTGTCAGTATATAGAATGTCGACATAAGTATTCCCGCTGCAGGAAAAAAAGGTAAAACGGAAAACAAATTCTATAAACCATTAGTAGGCATTGATGATAGTGGGGTTAATCTTACAATAATATGTTGTAGCCGTGTGGCAGTATAAGTTTGAAAAGACCACCGACTTGTCTCTTAGGCAAGAGAATTATAGTATCTACATGGTTGATATGAGCATATCTACAACTGGCTGATATCCGAAAAGCGAGATTCATTTCGTTGTCAATGGTCTTTTGACATTACCGGATCCCGATAAATTATGTTATACATAAATATAATCTTTGATTACTCAATCATATGTTATTTTACTGAGTGAAAATAAATTTATTGACTATTTGTTCCTTTAAAATTTCATATCAATGTGTTCGTTTTCGAACACATTCGTTCATGATCCACGTAAGTACATACCGATGAATATATGATTATGATCATACAGCATTCCTTTATAACAGTCATCTAATTGTGACTAAGTAATTCAAATATTCGTTAGAAAACTAGTAATTTACAGTCTAAATTTTAACCATGTCACACTTTGGAGTACAGGCGAACAACACCTTGCTACTGAAAATCACAAAAGGTTCGAACAGGTTGTTAGAAGCTGAGTTGGCCACTGCAAGGATTGTTTTAATTTAATTCTATGCATATACATTAAGTGAAAATACATTTAAATGGAGTTCAAGACAACGATAGTTTAATTTTGTTTAGTTTTTATGTTTGGCTGTGAACAGATCGTTAGTACTAACTCTATCCTGAATTAACAGGGATAACTAAACAAATAGCCAATATAACAATAAAATTGCTTTACTTACACATCCAGTTACATCTATAGACTGTAATTTTTTAACGTCATATATATATATATATATATATATATATATATATATATATATATACAAGTTGCCAGACCATATCAACATGATGTATTTACGTTCACCATCAGGTCGAGTTTACAGGCCGCGCGTTGGGCTATTCTTCTTTTTATGCTTAAAGGTGTTACTTGCTAAGAATAGACGGTTGTTTGAGTGTAGTTGCAGCATAGGGTTGTTTTGGGGAAAGACCTGATTGCCATTACACCTCTTTACAGTCCTTAGTACTCCCTCATCACTTGAACATTAAGTTGCTGTTTTTAATCTTAGTGTTTTTTAATCGACCTGCCTAAATAAATACCTATGGAAACAAATAACTAGAATAAAAACAAGCGTTTAGTTTCATGTCTTTTAACTGGGTAACAGAGACAATGTACTCATTATTATGACATCCGCTAAAGTGCTGTGTATCAGTTTGATTAAGTTGCTGTTTCTTTGCATACGCATAAGTTTATAAACCTGTTGTTTAAATATCGTGACTTATGACTGCTACTTTAAATTATTGTGATGCGTGCTCAAGCATCATCGACTTGTATTAAATATTTGTATAAAAAATATCCTACTCAAGAAAGAAATTATGAATATATTTCGAAGTATCTAATCTGATAGTTATTCACATTGAAAGGGAAAATAACACGAGGTTTGCGAAAAGTATGTAGATAACAACATTAAGATTAATCCTATAAAAAGTTACCCGCTAAATGTTCTCCTGTTGAATGATATATCTTGAATCCTTTCATCAAAATCCTGCAGTAGATTGTTGCTTGTTAGTTCATACGCCACTTTATGTGTATCAATTATCTGACCAGATAGTTGTTGCTTAATTTGTTTCGTCTAATTTAAAGTGATTTTACGAGTGTTAAGAATATGACCGAATGAGAATTTATTTAGACACAAACATTGTTTAAGTAAAAGTGAACAATAACATGATACCTGACCGTGTGAGAGAACTCCGAATTTAAGCACAGATTCTTGTACTCAGTTTATAGTCACAGACTTCGTCTCCGGGTTGCGCGAATTATCACTTGGCTACATCCCACATCAATTCAAGCAATAGATCAAATATTTATAAACCCATTATATTACTTTTTACAAGAGCGTCAAAAACAGTAATCATATTAAGTGAGCAGATAATCACAGCTAAAGCTTTTCCAAATACTTTTGAAACTTGAACATCACTGACATATCAACTCATATCTGCCTCCCGAATTCCTCCGTATAGGATGTTTCGCTTTAGATCCAGTTTTCAGGCCATTATAAGTATGTTTTTATTTAACAACTTTGCTGAGTCAATTTACTTTGACCACTTAAAAAAATCTGAGAAATATTTGTTGTTTTGAACAAAGCTGAGCTATGGTAAGTTATCATTAAGAGATCAAAGCTAGAAATATATCACCATATAGTCAGACGACTTATTTTCGCATCACACCAGCTATGTGGATTTTTGTGAGCTTGAAGGTGTATTGCTTTGGAGACACATATTTAAGGTTATATATATAATGAATGGTATCAAGATTTCCTGATAATTACTGCGCTTTATGTAGTGAGAATCTCCACAGGATCAATAGGTTGGTAAAAATACAAACCAAACTTCTACCATATATCATTAAGTAGGTGTTTGTGTTTATCCATTCATAATAATTTTCCAGTACGTAAACAAATAAATGAGCATTTTGCCAATTGAAATTGAGACAAAATTCACCTACCTCACGACATAATAAAGGGAGGTTATTTAACAGCTTTTCATTTTCTTCATGCAAATGTCGAATTGTTTCCCGTTTCTTTCCCTTTGGACATTATATAATAAAAGAGAAATTACAAAAACTTCACTCATTGCTTTCTATTCTGTAGTTCAAGGTTCGTTCTAAAGATGTTTACTCATGTGAAATACCATAATCCAAAAGAATGTGATCTAATTAGACAGACAAGTGAAAAGAGTTTTATTACTAATCTCGATCTGACTGTGTTAAGAGTTATCAAGCTAAATGGTATGTTACTACGCGTAAAATGGGTGCTAGCTAAGAATAAACAGTTATCCGAAAACAATTGTAACAGGTTGATGATTTGTTTGCTTGAGTGAGACATTAAAAGTCCCACTACGTGTCTTGAGTTTGGTCAATTATGTTTAATTGAAAGCTAAAATCATTTTCGAAAATAATGGAATCCACCTAGTTAATAAACAAGCTAACGTGTCAGTCGGTCAGCTACAACGAAGGACCAGGCACATATATCTATCAGTCCAAGTTGCCACACCTTATTAGCACAAGATGAACATCAAATACGTAGAAGCAGTTAATTCAGTGGTAGTAATATATAGAAGATAGATTGCATACAAGGATAACATACAGGAAGAAAGAATAAGTTCGTCGAAAGAAAGATATAAAGACATTTTAATCTCACGGTTTAGGAGAAGATAGAGAGTGTATACACCTACGCCATTGTGATCGATTCTCCGCCTTGTCACTCAGAGTCTCCAATCATTGGTTACGATAATCACATGGACCCCAACCAAGTAATCTGCATCTACCAACATGGCTAAGACAAGAGGTTAATGATTTTATTGACTGATGCTACGTTTCGGTTTGGTAGCCCCTAACTTTCTTCCATCTGTTTCCAGAACTGGTCAGCATTGCGCGCCATGGTAGTCAGTTGGGCATATGTAATACGTGGCCCAACCATCTCAGTCGATGATGATTCACAACCTCATCAACTGATTTACCATCATTCCTTAATACCCTGCGTCTAACCTCACTATTACTTACCCGTTGATCCCAGCAAATGCGACCAATGTTTCGAAGACATCTGTGATCGAATACTGGTAACTTACGAGTATCCTGTACTATTAATGGCCACGTTTCCCAGCTGTAAAGTAAAACAGAACGAACTACTACACAGTATATTCGTCCTTTAATTATTAAACGGATATCTCGCCTTCTTCATAAGCGACGTAACTCCGCAAAAGCCAAGCGAGCTTTTTGAATCGGTGTAGAGATCTCGTTAGACAACAACCCATTACGGCTGGTCAGACTTCAAAGACAAGTGAAGTTATTGACGCGTTTGACTACTTCACCCCAAATCCTTAGTTCAGGTAATGACGCAGACCAGTCTTGAAGAAACAACTTGCATCAAGAGGGGGAGAAACGCATCCCAAACATCCTGGTAGTAATCTAGTAAAGAGTCTTTACAAGGCTTATGTACTTCTGAGGTACGCCTTTCAATGACAGAAATTGCCACTGAACTTCTCGGTCTACATAGTCAAATACTGCTTTCACATCAAGAAAAACCATCATTGTCTGACGCCGATAAGCATGCCTGACGAATAGTGACTATGTGGTCGATGCAGCCACGACCGTGTCTGAAGCTAGCCTGGTTTTCTCATGTCTACAGTTCACCAGTCTTTGTTAGGCACCCGATAATTATTGAGGCTAGCATTTTAGACGCTATATTAACCAAGCTAATCCCTCTATGGTTATCACAGGATGGTTTTGATCCTTTCTTATATACTGAGACGACCAGTGATTGCGACCTGTCAAATGGGATTACGTCCAGTTCCCAGGTTTCAGCTGCAATATTAGTCAATCTAATCGCTAGAGTAGGTAGGTCTATTTCAATGTTTCATTCAGGTTGTCTGGGAATGGTGGGCAGCTGTAGAGTAGCTGCAAGCCAGCTGAACTGCTCCTTAAAGTGTTCCGTCCATCGTTCTAAACATCTGGGCTGAGAGCAGATAAAAGTACCGTCTTTTTCCGATATTGTCTCACTTACACTTGACTTCCTAATTCCAATTTCTTTAATTAGTCTGAAAAGCTTTCTGGTGTTACCTACATCCACTGCCTTTTCCACCTATTTTGCAACAGACGTGGACATAAAGAAGGCCATTGTCCACCGAATCGTACGTCCCAGCCCAAGAAAAAGTATAAACGTCCTCCACGTGTGGTGAAAGCAGCTGAGTCTAAATCTCTTTCTCTGGTAGCAGCTTTTCAAACAGACTATGACATTCGGAGAAAGTATGTTACGATCCAGATTAATGGTATAGCGGCTCGTCTTCAAATTGACACAGCATCCGATATTACTCTAGTGTCTAGAGAGACGTATAACTTGCTAGGAAAGCCGCCAATGAAGCCATCCAAGAAAACGGCTAAAACCGCATCTGGAGGTGTACTGAAACTAGTTGGTGAATAACAATGTGAATTTTCCTTCAATGGAAATAGCTGTAAAGGAGTATGCTATCTAACAGAACGATCAAACCTTGATCTTCTTGGTTTACATATGTTAGAAAAACTTGGAATAATGGAGGTACCCTTCAACAGCGTTTGTAACGTGTCGTGTCCATCATCAGACACCACTTCACGTGCAAAAAAGACAGGTGGAAAGGTCCCAGAAATACGGAGTGTATTAGCAGCGGCAATTCGAAACACTCCAGTGTCGTCAGATGAAGTCAGAAAAGACTTTTCAGAATTTTGTCAGCAGAACGGAATCAGGCACATCCGAACACCTCCATTCCATCCGCAATCGAATGGTCAGGTAGAACGTTTTGTTGGTACGTTCAAAAATGCTCTAAATATATCAAGAGGGGAGGGTACCACCGAGGAGATCTTAGAGAGGTTCCTGCTTATCTATCGCTCTACACCGAACCCTCAAACAACAAATGGGGTCTCTCCAGAGGAAGCGTTACTTGGCAGAAAAATAAGGACACATTTCGATGTCATCCGTCCGACGCCAGCTCGTGAGCCCCAACGAAACTTATCGATGGAGAAGCAGTTCAATCGACACCATGGGGCACAAAGACGATTATTCACGGTGGGTCAAAAAGTACTTGCTATGGACTATCATGGTAAACATCCTACGTGGACAGCTGGTTGGATCGTGAGAAAGAAAGGGGAAGTGGTTTATGAGGTGTCAGTTGGCTCAGAAGTTTGGATACGTCATGCAAACCAACTGAAAGCAACTTCGATAGCCAGCAGCGAGAATCGACATCGAATACCTCTTGACGTTCTGCTAGACACCTTTGAAATAGAAATGCCCGGAACAGACAGGTCAGTTTCTGTGCAAGCAAAGAGTGATACAACTTCCTTATTGCCTAGACGATGGACAGATCGAAAGCGCAGGCCAGTCACTCGGTTGCAGTTGGACCCTAGCACCGGATCCTACGAATCTGCTCAAGGGGGAGGTGTTAGCGGGACATAGATTGGATTAAAGCATGTTTCATGATGGTGTTGCTGCGCGCTGATTGGCTAATTCTAAACCGATCAGCCCGGGCATATTATTGGAGACAAATCTAGAAGCTTCTTATGTATATACTATAAATATATGAACGTTATTCAAATCAGTGATTGCTGTTCACATACCATTATTATTTTGAATACAATTTCATTCCTGTTCAAAGTGTTCTGATTTTGGGGTCTTGTCGAGTGTCATCGTATAAGAATACTAAGCAATAGGAATAGCTGGGTCGTTTAGTAGCAAAATACAATTATAACAGTGGCGACGAGGAAAAAGGAAAATTCATTCAAAATGCCTATATCAGATGACCAGCTCAGCCGAATACTACAACAACAGCAAGCACAGCTTGATGCACAAATGCGGTTGTTGGAGACTCTGATGCAACAGTTTAGCATCCAAAACTCGAGTTCACATGCTGTTTCAAGTACTTCTTGTGATGCAGTTGCTAGCAGCATCCCAGAATTCATATATGATCTCGAAAGTGGAAATACTTTTCTCACGTGGTTCAAGCGTTGGGAAGATACATTTAGAATAGAATTCTGTCAACAAGATGACGCATGGAAGACTCGGTTGTTGATGCGTAAGTTGGGAAGCAATGAACATGCACGTTATGCTGATCATATATTGCCAAAGTTACCTCGATAGCTCAGTTTCGAGGAGACAGTAACGCAATTGTCAGATATATTCGGTGAATCTTCCTCATTGTTTAGTATTCGATATCAGTGTCTGAATTTGGTGAAACGTGAAGCCGATGAATATGGTGCTCTAGCAGACGTCGTCAACAGAGTGTGAACGGTTCAAGTTACGCTCGTTGACAGAAGATCAATTTAAATGCCTTATATTCATTAAAGTTCTGCAGTCACCACAAGATGCTGAAATTAGAACCAGACTTCTAACTTGTTTGGATCAAGACCCAAACGTCACACAAGACATTGACAGATGAGTGTAAACGACTACAAAACATCAGACACGACAATCAGTTAATTGAACAGGTAAATTCTAATTTAACCTGCAGTAGTGTAAATGCTATGACTAGGTTAAAAAGTCAGAAGGTGAATAAAACTCATAACAAACCAACGGATGCCTGTTGGTTATGCGGCAACTGGCATTATGTACGGTTCTGTCCATTTAAGAAGCATAAATGTCAGGTGTGCAACAGACGTGGACATAAAGAAGGCCATTGTCCACCGAATCGTACGTCCCAGCCCAAGAAAAAGTATAAACGTCCTCCACGTGTGGTGAAAGCAGCTGAGTCTAAATCTCTTTCTCTGGTAGCAGCTTTTCAAACAGACTATGACATTCGGAGAAAGTATGTTACGATCCAGATTAATGGTATAGCGGCTCGTCTTCAAATTGACACAGCATCCGATATTACTCTAGTGTCTAGAGAGACGTATAACTTGCTAGGAAAGCCGCCAATGAAGCCATCCAAGAAAACGGCTAAAACCGCATCTGGAGGTGTACTGAAACTAGTTGGTGAATAACAATGTGAATTTTCCTTCAATGGAAATAGCTGTAAAGGAGTATGCTATCTAACAGAACGATCAAACCTTGATCTTCTTGGTTT